AACGTAGTGACTGACGTGGCTAAATCTAAGCCAACGCGCACAATATGTACAGTAGGTGGACTAACTCATGAAATGTCAGCCGAAATTCCGAAATGTGTTTTCGTTTCAAAACGATTACTTAAGTAGGGTTGTAAAACTAATCGTCGTGCAGCGTAATTCTATAATAATTCAGTTACTTTAGCATGCCGGCTTTTGAACGAACTTCTTTCCAGCCGCATGCCCAAATCACACTGTGTCAAAATTGACTACTTGTGTAGCATGCGTTTTCTCATTGATTTTCAATGTCCTTAAGTATTAAATTATATTTCATGGACAATATGCAACAAAATTCATTCTTTTACTCATTCGGTCGAACAGTACGTCTTCTTTCAGTTTTATACTCGAAGGAAGGGCATAATTCGGTTTTAAAAATTTTTTCCAATTGTGAGATTTTCAAATACCGTGAAATGGCCGTTCATAAAACGTCATGTCACTGCATTTACCAATGCGGCTTGTAAAGCTAACAATATGGCCAAAATTCACTGCTAAATTTTATGAACCCCACATAGTCTCCTCTTAATACCGTAGAGAAATGGATGGTTTTCCGTCAGCGGAAAATATATGGCTTGTAGTTTTGAAACCCTGAACGGAAGTGTCACGGCAGGTCGGGTTTAAAGTTATTCGGGAATTTAAAAAATCTTTAAAAACCAAATTGTGTCCTTCCTTTGAGTACACAATTGGAAGAAGACGTAATTTCCAACAGAATAAGCGAAAGAATGAATATTTTTATACAATTTTTTTCCATGAAATATAGTTGAATACTCAGGGAGATTGAAAATCAATGAGAAAATGCATGCTACACAAGTAGTCAATTTTGACACAGTGTGATTTGGGCATGCGGCTGGAAAGACGTTCGTTCAAAAGCCGGCATGCTAAGGTAACTGAATTATTATAGAATTACGCTGCACGACGATTAGTTTTACAACCCTACTTAAGTAATCGTTTTGAACCGAAAACACATTTCGGAATTTCGGCTGACATTTCATGAGTTAGTACACCAACTGTAGTTGGTGAATGAATGTCAGGTCATTCATCACGCAAAAGTTAATTCAAAGTTCTCGTTGCCTTATACTGCTACCGGGGCAGGACATATGCTGGAAGTTGGCGTTGCGCAAATTTCTCTCACTGAAATCTGCTTCACGCACAGATTACCAATCCCTTCCTGGAGTGCTGATGGTTCCATTCTAGTTCGACGGACTGCACATTCATCATCCTAAAATTGGTTTTATTGGAAAGTCAGGTCTCCGGGTATGAGACCGATACACACCTAAACCATCGAGACGCGCCAAAAGAGGGCTGACGGAATAACTCAGTCCTCCCTGGAACGAGAATCAGGCTGCTGTCTGCTCTGTCTAAGGTGACATTTATGACAATTCTCTTTGATGAAAATCCCGTTTTCGGAAAGTCCTCCCCCTCCACTTATGAAAGTCGTGTGTAAGTAATATAGGAAAAGAACGCGTCAGATCGACCTCACTTTGTCTTCCTTTCCCATCACGAAGCCCTTTATATACTGAATCTGGTCGCTTGAAAATGAGCTCTGACACAGTGTCTGAGCTGGCAATTCACCTCCATCTCTGCATTGCCAGTTTAGAGGCCCTTTTAGCGGCAATGATCCCAGGGGGAATACATACTCATTTTTGGCAAAATAATAACTCCTGACATGAACGCATGACACAGAGTGAAGAGCAGATACAGGTTTAGGGGTCGAAGCATACATCAAAGAGGACGTAATCACGGCTTTCCGACTGCAGCACCGTCAGTGAGCATGTATCCTGTAGCCTAGTGCCTACAACTCCGAAGACAGTGGCTGTGAACTAGGAGCTAAACCCAACTTCCAGAAGACAGTACACGTGGGAAACAACAGTAAATGTTTTGTATTTTGCCGAGAGGAGGGCATCTTGAGTGGCAACAACTCCAGACGCGAACTGCTGGATAGAAATTAGTACAAAGGGGCATCTTGCAGGAAGGAATTTGATCTCAGGGGTCCTAGCCAAATCCTTTAAGTAAGCTGACCGGGGAATGACCACAATCCGAAAGTCCAAAAACTGATATCTTACTGCGGTCATAGTCATTTTAGGGGATGCACCGAACTACGAGGCTTCAAAGTGGCAAATTCTCCGAGCGTATTCACTTACAAAGAAATCTGAGACCACCAGTGAGGATTTGAAATAGCTTCATAAGAAACGCAGAAAAGCAAGCAGAGACAAAGACTAGGGGAATTAAATAGTTGTTCTTGGCTTATGAAATGTCGCCAGCCGGACATACCCAATCCCCCGTGTGCAGGACCTGAAATTCGAATGCGGGTTCTTTGGTTATCGGGTGTCAAGTCTAACCCAAACAAAACTGCCTTTCCACAGAAAACCCGAAACGTTCAGTGGCTAAAATTGCAGACGTATGTCTTGTTGAAGTTCGTGATACCGCATAACATGCTGCGAAGTGTTCAAAGCATCATTCTGTTTGCCAGCTTCCTAGATATACTTCCTGTTTATGATACCCAGATATGAATACTAGGTTAACACATTTTAAGTTATTAAGACAAACTATCTACCAGTTAGCAGGTGACAAGACGAACCGGTCACCCACACATTGTAATGAAAATCCGAGTCGATGATAGTAAAATCCCTCGAAATATGTGCCCGGTTTTCATTTAACTAAGAAGTAGTACTTCGGGGAGGGGACAATTTTGCAAGATAGAAGTTGCATTGTAATCTTAACGCAGGTACTCGTTCAAAGCACGGATGCGTTTTTCGTCGATGTTCTTGCTACTGAATGACGCAAATGTGATCGAATCGGATCCTATGTTGTTTCTCGTATACAATGATAACTATGAATTATAAAATAATAATTTGCAAATTATAAAGAAGACAACTTGAGGTTAACTGACCCGTAAGGGGTGTTAGAAGTCAGCTCGAAAGCATGATAAACGTTTGTCCACTCCTAACAAAGTCTGCGAACTATGCGCGAAATGTCAATTGGACTAAAAGGGATTAGCATTAGCAGTACAGATATATCTGGCAGCAGTTTCACGGCACACTCAAAACGCACCAGATAATGGATCGACAAGTATATTGCCGACGCTTCTGCAACTGCGCGACAAAACCCTGGTTGCCTCTATCTCTCAGGGTGCCCCCGGTGTCAACAGCGTCTCACCTGGTACAAGAAATACAAACATGACGACGGCTAATAAGCCAGAAATGGCCATTCCAGTCTCCCATTGTCTTTTTCGGTAATATCTTTCTGCCTATATATCATGCGCCGCTGTGCGGCTGCTGGTTGGGCTCGAGAGAGAGAGTCCATAAGGCACAACGGAACGAGTGAGTTCCGTAAGAACGATCGGTGAGCGCCCCCTACCATGGTATATTCCCGATCGAAAACCGGTAGGGCAACGTGCTCGTGGCTCAGTGGTTAGAGGCGTGGACTTCTAACAAACAGGTCGCGAGTTCGAGCCTCGGGAGTGCCATACTTCGGGGTTGGGCATGACTGGCTGACGACGGCAAATAAGCCAGAAATGGTCATTCCAGTCTCCTACTGTCTTTTCCGGTAATATCTTTCTGCCTACAAAGTGGACTCTTAAATTAACATTATTGAGACTGGGGTATCTTACAGTGTCCCTGCACGACGCTGCTCTGACAGTTTCAGTTGCTCAGAGCGACTGCGGCATTCGCTATATGCCTTCCGCATGCGCTATCCAGATTAACATTTGTAGTTTGTTATTTCAAGAACTAATCAGAGACGGACTTTGATTTAGATGCCCGCGCATGAAAAATGTGTTAGAACGAACTCTTAATCATCATGTGAGTGGAAGGATGTAAAAGTCTGTGGAATAAGATCGTAATGTCCATTCGCTGGGCAAGTAACACTACTGACCATAAGACTCGCTACATTTAAAAGAGATGTCTGGAGCCGTTTGCCGAGTTTGATGCAGGGACGTGCAAACAACTAGGTTGGGGAACTCGGGGGATTACTCTGGATATGCATATGGGCGAACATGCAACAGAAAAGATGTCAGTCCACGAATCTGAGGTCAGTTAACGGGACATGGTCAAGCCTTCAAGTTCAACGAGACAAAAATTATTGCGACAAGTGACAACCGCGTAAGTCGCGAGATACTTGAATAGTTGTTCTCTGGCCAGTGACCTATTATAACAAGCTCAGTAACCCTCACCCTCCATATTCAATTCTGAGACTTTCTCTGGACAAAGTAGTCATATACTTAAACACCACGCGTGCGAACACTGCTTTTACTGGAAATATCGACGATCTGAACTGTCGAGGAATCATTACACTAATAATCAGCACTAGTGATGCAATTGCAGCAACTTACGGTTCGGATGGGCTCGCGCAGGCAACCATCGCACCAAGCACGCCAATCGATGATAAACGGGGGGCTGCTATGATAGATATGTGGTTACATAGCAAATGCACCCTGTGAATGCTGCACCCCTGGTATATCTACCGCTTTTATCTGTGGTTATCGCTGGTGATGGATCCAAGCGAGAATCCGGAGCGTCGGGTTAGTATAAGTCTTTTCCCAGTGATTAAATCTCTCGCTTTCCTACCTCTGTAGTCTCAACTATAACTAAATATGGGGACGGTCACGCTTGTCGACACCCAAACATCTCATTCGAAGCGGAAAAGTGAGCCAGCAAAGGAGTGCACCGCGTCAGTCTGAGCCAAGGGTATCGCTTGGTAAACAGATGGGTGGCAGGGCATTATCATAGCTTGCCATCAGTTGCAAAGATGCGACGAACGAAAAACGTTTTGGCGGCACAGTTTGAAAACGATCAGTTTGGGAGTAAGAATAGTTAATTCCCGTTAGGTGAATGGAGGATGACCTGTAGGTCCCAGTCCTCTGATGTCGGCTGAGATCTGCAACACGACACGGTGTGACTCAGGCATCCTCTATTAGGGTTAAAGCTGCGTTCATAAAGCCAGCCAATCACAGGTGTCAAACAATTGATCTATTGATTCTTGCGCACTGCGTTGACTGGTTGGCGTGCATTTGGAGAGCAGCCAAAACGTGCTGTTTGCTGCTGCTGCTGCTGCTGCTGCTGCTGCTGCTGCTGCTGCTGCTGCTGCTGCTGCTGCTGAACTCTAACCATTATTTGTGGCATGGAGAGCTTCGGCTGATGTTTCTCGTTTAACCTCCAGAACGGGAAGAGGTGCTGAGATGGTGATGGTAAGGACACGTCCTCTATCTCTGTCAGTACAGGCCGGAAACAAAAAGGCTAGTCGCTCTACTGATATACTGGGCGAAAATCTTAAGTAGGTCTTTAATAAGCGACAATGGAAAGTTGTGACGGGGCACACTGACGACTGAAGCCTTATTGGATGAAGGCACTCAACGTTTGTTTGTTTACAAAGCATGCACTAGGCGGACCCTTAACAGTTTGCCCATAAAAGGAGATTAATAGACATTAGAACCTGAACAGGTACAGTTCTCAGAAACCAAAATTACTGTAGGTAATTTTTAATAGCACGGAGTTCATTCGTGACAATTACTCAGCAGGATATGAGACAGATGAGAAAGTACCCCATCTGTGACTGTCCCCTATAGGTACCTTCATCCGCTAGGCATTTTCACGATAACTTCGTAGACTGTGAGGTATATCGGCAGCAGACAACGGGGGGACGGAGCGAATGCTGTATCGTGGATTCTGTTCAGCCATACCTAAATCCCTAATTGTCTGTCTGAATCACCTCATGTACTTTACAATTACATCTGTACCATACGTTAAGTATGATCGGATACGCTGCTCTCGTAAATGCTAACTTTGCATAATAAGTTCGGAAATTGACGCTTTCTTCGCCTCACAACACAATTATTCTTTCGAGGACACTATGCAATCCTGCAGATAAAATGCGCGCCAGACATTCGGGATGAGGAAGGCAGGGTGACTCGGGACGCTGAATGGATAAATGACAGGGTGAATCTAACATTGTCGTAGTAGGATGGCCCGAAGAATATGTAAAAAGGATGATTATGACTGGATTCTCTGTGGTTGTTTTTCAGCACTGACGACACTGTCAGACACTTACCGTACGAATAATTTCAAACAAATACATTCTGACGGGACCATGGTCACTTAATATACCGTGTATGAATAGAAGTCGCGGACGGCCGGTTGAGTTGAGTCAAGCGACGGCGTATGTGTCCGTCTCGTGGATAAACACCAATGACTTGGTTCGGTGAGCCAAAGTATCGACTTTGAAGTAAATTGTTGGAAAGTAAGACCAGTTCAGACGCAAGGCGCTCATTCGACTTTTAGCGAGAAGACAGGGTTTACTGGGATTTGATCCCGTTCTTGACCGAAAATGGGTATGTTCGTAAATAATAACAGTCAGAGACCTTATTTGCAGTGATACGGAGGATACTTCATTAGTTGAAGGGCTGCTCAGGTGGAGGTACATATGGAGGGGTTTTGATGCCGTTCCTGCAAATTATCGCACACTGACGGAAGAAAGAGAGTAGACATGGATAAATGTCACAGGAAGGAATGTTCATGGCACGAAATAATTATTGCACAATGCCAGCAAGCTAGCAGCTCCCTGCCTGACTTATTTCCAACGTTGGCTAAGACATACAGATGGCTTTGCCCTTCCGCAAACAGTCCGAATTTGATCAAAGTGCGATAATGAGTACCTCATTCTGTCCGCTTTGATCATGTCATACCCTTAATCCACAAGAAAGCATATCGTATTTCGTGGAAATACTCCACAGTCAGTCAACTCCTAATTTTCGTGCATGTAAGTTGGCTGTAAAGGAAGCTGGGCCTATACGTTTTAGTCTTGAATCCGTGGCAGCCAGAGTCCAGCAACAAATTCTGGGCTTTGCAGATTTTAAGACAGGTGTGAGCACATCTCATCCTCTGTATGCCTGATGCTGCTTATTCTTGAATTTGTCATTCCTACCTGCGAAATTCGCTGAAAGCTTAAATATCTTTCTGTAAATCTTTAAGTAAAAGCTGCAGGCCATTGCTACCCATAATAATGGTCTCGCCTCTAAAAACCACTTGTGTTTCACCTTGTCTAAAGTTTATTCCAGTTTCATAAATGTTTGGAAAATATGTGGCCTTAATTAATTTGACTCAATGGTGAAAACTCGGCATCCAGGGTGGGATTCGAGATCCCACCGGAAGCCCTAAGTTGAAGCCCACGTGGATGAAACCACCCCTCCAGCCTAATGTAAAGTATGGAATCAACCAATTCGGGTACAGTTAACCAACTGCCTAAGCAGGGGTTCCTGGGAAATCGGGTCGGACGAATTATTCAAATTTGCTAAAAATACCAATAAACAAAAAACTTAAATTAAATAGTTCTTGCAGCTGACATAATTCCAGCAGAAATTAAACACTAATTCCATCTTGATGACATTCTAGATGATTGATATCGACCCAACTGTGAAAAACTCGGCGCCCCGGTGGGATTCGAAGCCACGCTGTAAGGCGAGGGCTTTAGTACAGCCGACGGGGCCTCGTAGCCCAAGCGGTTAGAGCGTTGGCTGTACTAAAGCCTTCTCCTTACTGTGTGGGTTCGAATCCCACCGAGGCGCTGAGTTTTCCACAGTTGGATCAATATGAATTATTAAAAGATCTGCCAAAACATCTGTGAATTCTACATTATAAAAAGGATGGTTGTGAGTTAGCAGTGAATATCAGTCAGTCGTGGGCGGGCTGGTGAACGGGGGTGGGTAAGAGGTTGTTTCCCGCACTGACTCCTACCACGACCACGCAGAGTAAACAACGTGATCCAAATGCATACACGGTTCTAGTTTACTCCTTCGTCTGGTCGTGGCTTCTGAGTACCTTAAGAGACCCCCAGTCTCCTCTCAAAGCTACACCTAAAGTGGTGCCGGTGTCATCATGATTCTCGGCACGTTATTTTCTGCAGTCGGCAGACAGACATTTTCGCTCTTAAGAGTTTTATGCCAAGATAGGTTTCAGTAATGGATACGTTCGATGTGATTGCTAGCAAACCGGGACTCATATGATCGGCTTCCATCTTACATTTAGATATCCCCGTCGTCTATTTATCATTACCATCCGTTCGACATCCGCCTAAAATCTAATCGCAGAGTCCATGGTTTCCTGCCGAACAAAATCATTTGGCTATACTTCACTGCTAATCCATTTCTAGGGTCAGAACAGGACTTATCGAACTCGCTGAATATCCAAGGTAATGTATAAAAATATTGATAAACAAGGGCGGCATTGAGATAACAAGCATCAGAATGTCCAGCAAACTCGTAAGCGCAGACATGCTGAAATTACTCAGAAGTGGAAAAGTTCTACTGTTGAAGAGCACTTTGTGGCAATATTGTTGCCTCGGATCTGATCTAGAGGCGTTCGGTGAGTCAGAGTTTCGACTGCCAAGGACTGACGGACAGATGCAGATTTGTAGTTCGAAGTACGAATGATAATACGACGGAATGATTATCTCGACTGATCGAGGCTGCCTCGATGTTAGGGTCATTTTCAGAGGCCGAAGAAAGAGCAGTATGGATTTCCTTGAGGGAACGTCTATGGTTTTCTCACTATAATGCCTCTGTGGCTGCCTCTATTCCAGCTATCACCAAAACTAACACCACCACCACCCTCCCACCTGTCACATTGCAATAACACCGTCGACCTCATCCCAATCCTGCCTCTACCGGCGGCACTCAGCCTTCCCCATCACTGTTATCTCCCCTGTCCCTCAACAAACGGTTGCACATCTTCCTCCGTCTTTTCACCACTCCTGGTTCTCCAACCCATCCACGACTGTCCCATCAAGTCTTATGGTGCGACAAACACGTCCTGGTAAATTTTCTAAAACGTACTTTCGACCGGACTGACTTCTTCGTGTCATATGGTTTCCTGAATGAATGGCCTATGAGAATCTTAGAAACCTTTGGGGGATTTCTGTCGATATGGCCGGGTCGTGTCAGTTCTTTTGCTCTTCTAGAGTCCAGTCATCATTCTCTGCCCTCGGATCTGAAGCGTGTCAAAGGCGGTTTCTCAACATGCCACATGTCAGTATCCACCCGTCTGTTGGTCTCAAGTTGCCATACGATCAAATAATGAGATTCGAGATTTCGACATTCTCATCTACGAGCAACTTGAGAACATACGACTCTTTTATCCCTTAAGGCAACACGCAATATCTTTACCTTCCGTTTTTGTTCACTATATTCTATGCTATTTTTTAGGCATAATCATATGCACATACACCACACAACCCTGGTTTTCTGAACTCTGTCACTGCTCATCCATGTTAATACACACTTTAGAGTTTTAATGAGGAGGCAAATGCTCTAACGGAGTGTTACTAATAGATAGAGCAGTTGCGATCAATAAGTTCAGCATAGCATAGGTAAATTTTTCTTCCACGGGTATATCTCAGCGGCTCAGGTCGGTGAGAATGCAACTCAAGCAATGCGTAAGTTAAACTCGTAGTGATTGAACACGGGAATAAGTACTCCCCCAGTACAGGTGACCTTGCGCTCAATTCCATTGAATGCCTATGCCCCTGTCCCATCCTTAAACCTAACCATGACCCAAACATCACCAGCAACTCTAGCCTCCCTAGTCCTAACCTCAACACTAGCCCCAACCCTACTTACGACTATCACCCCAACACCAACCCCCATGTCATTTGACGCGAGGCCACCTGTAATACGATAATACTTATCTGCATACCCCATCCTCATTGAAACATTTCATATTTTTTACCGACGAATGACCGGCGCTAACACCTACCTTTAAGCTAGTTTTATGTATCAATGTACGAGAAATAAACTTATTTCTACTACCTTTTTTCACATAACTGTAGTTGCACTTAGCGCTGTTGCTGTCCCTTTAAGAGACCACCTACTGTGGACCACCCCGAACACCATACCAATTATAAGTACCTTGACTGCACGTTACATATACAGTACGACATTTTAGACAGGTTTCGCCATTAAACAGCAAAGGCTGCAAAATCAGTAAGGTGGGCTGCTACAGAAGAAGTAATCTGACACTTGCCCAACAGGCAGAGTTTTGTCTTTACCTACATATCCCCATTCTTGTCTTTTTGAATATAGATGCTTTCGTCTCCCCGCTTCCTTAAAAAGTAATGGAGTTTTAATTCTGGAGTAAATATGAGGCGATGTGACCTATAACCAATTGCAGATATCGTAGGCATATGTTTATTAGTTGGAAATTAACTGCCTTATCTATCGAGGCCTTTGCATGTTCCAAGGACTATAAAACACATGAAGAATTTGCGAATGTTACTTGTTTCAGAAACTTCCGATTGATTTTATTGCCAGTGTCAAGTGTGTCATTTATCGCTAGGCCATGCCCCACCCTCATTGAAACTTTTGACATTTTTACTGATCAATTACCAGCGCTAACATTTACCTTCGAGCTAGTTTTATTTGTCAACGTATGAGAAATAAACTTATTCTTCATCGGCATAATTCAATTTTTCAGTGGGCCTGCATAACTTTCCATAATAGGGTAACATATCACATGTCTGTGGGCCCAAGTTCCTCTGCCGAAAATCCCATATCGAGGCGTGCTAAAGTCGTTTGTGCCTTGTTTCCGGTCCGAATTCCACCTTTGCAGCCAAGTTTAAACTATCGGTGCAGTCCAGGTGTATTTTAATCTTGGTATGTGTGCAACTATTTTTTGACTAACGTCTTCAGGTATTTTACTAACAGTTGTCATCCATTCTATATTCTTAAGACCTAGATTTATCCAAATACTGTATTGCGATGTTTGCCAAACTATTTACTCCGTAAAATGGAAGCGGAAATTGCCGCTTTGTCCTGGAAATCTAGATCATTGTCCTCGTAGTCGGCCAGAGTCAGTAACCCGCAATTAGTACTGTCGCCGCTTTGTGAGACCCGAATGGCTTTTTTTACCGTCACTAGCAAATTATACTCCAACCACATCTTCGGTAGACCTGAGGCACCAATCCAACTTCAGTAAGTAACTGAGATGAACGACCTACCAGATGAGTCACGGGCCTTCGTTCCGCCGTCTGCGACCGGGAACAGTAAATGTCACAAGAAAGTTACTTTAGCTGGCCTTTGCCGATAGTCGGACGGAGTGCGTGGGTTTCCGTTTTGACTCGATAGCGGTTGCAATGCGGCGAACATTGAATAATCGAGAAATTTGCTGACAAATCCGGGGAGACTGGAATGCCCTCCTACGGTTTGTCCGCCGTCATCGACCCGGTGTTCAGATACGGTCGAGGGAAGACGGCACAAAACCATTAATAATCATATCTTTCTCCCGTACCCACTGCCGCGTTCCGAACGGTGCTTTTACAAGTCGCGGTAACGTTTTTTATATTTACCACGGTGTCTTTAAAGTCCTTCTGAACTGGCTGCTGGTGACACAACTTCTTAACTGCGTCACAGTTGTATTGCCGGTCGCTTTTTTCTCCAATTTTAAGATCTTTTTTAGTCAGACTCTCGTGTTTTAGTCCAGGACTAAGGGTTAGTACAGATCACTTGTTAGCCACAGTTTGGGGAAAAGTTCAGCTCTTCCAAACCCGTGAAATTTTGTCATGGTAAGGCAATAGACCAAAGTGTACAACACACTATTGTTGGGAGGTATAGCCGAAATCAACAAAGGAGACTTTGGCGGCCAAAGCGTAGCCCAGCTCCGAGGTGAGGATAACTGCTACCCAGGTGGAAGGCAGAATTTTATTCATGGCGAAAAGGCTTAGACTTCGCAGTTTAATGGAGGTGGCTGTTCTCACTCCAAAACAGAAGCTCAGACGAAATAAACGTCAAGCGGCTTCAGCTAGTGTAAGTCAAAAATTAGGGAAAAATTCAGCACACTGGAACCGGGCTGCGCTTCCTTAATTAACGTAGTTTAGGGGATGACCTCGAGATACAATCGTTCTCATCCGATCTACCGGCTATCACAAACAGCGTTCCAGGTTTTTTGTGGCCTCGGACGTAAACCAGATCACGACTCCTATTCGACTGAAATAGACATGCGTATTTGTCGAGGCAGCCAAGTGCCTGTGCGTGATTATCGATCGATGACCTCGCTTCGTGTGCATTAAGTCAAGGTCAAATTGCTCGTTAAGCTACGCCCTATCGCATATCCTAGGGGCGGATGGCATGGGGAACTCCCAAGCGTGCTGCCGCCCCACGAAAAAGGGGTGTGGAATGAAAACTGACCAAGGTATGAATACTATCAAGCTGGATTTTAACGACTGTGCATGCCAATGCAGGCTGCTTATCCCTCCGATCACCACACGAAGCACTTTAGAACTGCCGAGACGGGGTGAAAACCGGAGTTCTCAAGCCAATCTCAAGCCAGCCAGCAGGAATAAAGCCACTCTTACGGAAGTCTTCCATCAAATACCCTCCAGATGTAATTCTACTCTGATCGAGTCTGAAATTCACACGGAGGGAAGGCATGTTCACCACTCGCCTACCGGTGTCCGCTGGAGTTCCTGTTCTACAGACCATCTAAATGGCTTCCCCAATAGTCATTATGTTCGATTAGACACCGGTCGTACGCCACAAGACAATCGAATGTGCGGATATTCTGTGACACCACCAACTTATCGCGGTAGAGGAGGGCGGTTGTATACCCCACAGCTCTACTGTCATGCAACGCCACAGAATCTTGCACCCTGTGCTTCAGGAGACGGTCTTCCATCTCAGTCGACATGTCAATTCCTCCAAGCTCAGCAAATAAACCAATGTTGTAATGAACCCGTATTTGACGACTCAACCAGGCCAATGTATTTGTGCTGTGGTCGCGATGGTGATTACGAGCCAACTTCCTTGAGAAGCTTTCCGTGCTATCAGAATTCCCAAACTCAAGTGAAATTCCATTCTCATGAGACCATGAATGCAAACAATGTGAAAGATATCGTGGAAAGCACTGGCAAACTGCCTAACTGTGCTTGGAGAAATAACGTTTTAAGACGTACTGAGCTTTATCCGAATTCAGTTTCACCACATCTAGCTACAAAACCTCCATCTGCGTCGTGGTCGTCTGACCGGAGAAAAACTCTGCCGCGGGCTTTGCCCCCTGTGCCTGAAGTGGTTTCTTCAGAGTCCACCTGGGGAAGTCAGGATATAAAAAGTAATAAGCATGCGGACTTCAACTACCTCCATTTTATAAATTTACAGAAGGCCCGCTCATGGCATAACCTTGTGGGGAGTGATGATGAAGGTTTTGTTTCCTGTCCAGGTGTCCCACAAAGGTCTGCGGAGGCCCTTTCGTATCTCAAGAGTGAGCCGATAATTTCCGTTCCACGGCAGGAAGTTTGTCAAAAAAATTTTGACAACCTTCCGAATTCCAGATGTGAACTTGATGTTGGACTCGGCAGTATACAGGATGGTCGCCTACTAAACAATTTTTCAAAGAATACTAACGTAATCAACGACGACCTGAGACCTAACGAGGCCGTTTATTCGCTACCAATTGTGTCTCCACCACCGTATTCACTGCCTGTCCGAGGCAACCGTTCTATGAGCCGAACAGATCATTATCCAGCACCCTCCGGTGAACTTTCACCAGTAAAGCAGGCTCTTCGTACAACTTCCTTGGCCCATTCGTTGTCTCCAACGGACGCTTGTCTGGTAAGGTCACGGTCCCTGGACTTTAAAAATTCTGAGACGGATCGCAATCCCGACAGAACTCGAATGTCTTCTCTAAACAGATCTCAACAGCAGGTGAACCCCAGTTCTCGGAGTAGTTTGACTTATCAGAAGTCACGTATCCGCGATACGAGACCGTGGCAACAGCAGCTGCGCTCGACGCCCACCTTAAATTTATCCCCCTCCATGACCTCTTCATGTTTAAGCAGTAAACAGAGGTTCTACCTGAAACAAACAGAAAAACTGGACAAAATAATTTTCGATCCATCAGATAGGAGGATTAGGGCGATTTGCGATCGCTTTCAGTGTGATTTAGAAGTGTATTCTAAAGTTCCGCGACGGGGATTCCTACAGTATGTCATCGACATTACGGCACCAAACAGGGGCGCTCTCCAGTCTTGTGTAAGATCGCTGGACGCAAACTTGGGTTTCTGTCTGGCGTCACAACTTTTGCCGACTCCTCGTCCTTCTAGTTGATCAACGTGGTTCGTACATAATGATTCATATTTTGCTCCATTTTCAAAGCTAACTTCCTTATGCATGTATGCGTTTTATAATCTTCTGGGAAATGGAGATCAATTCAGATTCAATATTTTAGAAAAATTGACAAAACACCGAGCAATTAATAAAATATGCACGCATGCAAGCTCCCTTGCGTAAACGAAACATTTCTTTGTCTCAACCAGTCTTGTTTTTTGAGTTTCACACCTAGCCTTATACGATTAGAACATGTTCATTTTTCGTCCATACGTCTAAAAGTTTTATAGGGAATAGGAGGGTTTCACTGTGAGGCTGTTCGGAAATATGCAGCTTTCCGTTCTGCAAAAGTTTCGCTCTGAAGTGGAATAATTATGGCGATGGAAAGCGCTGACATTTAAATCCAAGCTCAGAAAAGCGTGACGTGGATCGGTAAATGATTTATGACTTTGAAAATACTAGTAGGCATAGAGCATTATTTCCAACTAACTCGTACAATGTGTCATGCTGAGTTTCCAGTTAAGATCTTGTAAACTGCACACGAAGGAAACGAGAAGCATCGTTCTGGGACACAAATATGAGGAAGAAACTTCAGAAAAAAGATATTTCCGCCCGACTGTTAGAGTGCAGACGAGCGTTCATTGTAGGAGTTAGGTCTAGCATCACACATGTCATGGAAATTATTTCGTCTCCGATGTGTTGAATTAGGAGACTGTGGGGAGAGGAGCGGAGAAGGAAGAGCGTAAGGAAACAGACATGTGTAAAAGGCCATCAACTCGCCTGAGCTGGTGCGTTTGCAAATGTTAGTCTCAGTTTAACTCTGGATTACCCGTAAATTTACCCCTAAGAGGGGTATAATAGGAGCAAACGATACCAATGATTTTTCTTTCCACCAGCTATCTAAATGGCTTGTTGAGTTCGTTACTCCAACTCATGGAAAATTCCTGTCGGATTTTAGGGGTTAATTACCTAACAGATAATAGTGGTATTTATTGAGGCTTAATGCCACTCAGATCGAGGAGCCGATCGTGGGTATATGGCAATCCCTTCAAAATAACTTTGACCTACCATATCCTAAAAGTGTCGACTAGAATGAATATTGCCACATGAAGAGAATGAGGACCGCTCACAACTGAGAGTTCTCACGATGCTTGCTTAGTGAGCTAAGGAGACGAGAGTCCTGAGGGGCGCTAGCCAAGTTGATTTGTCTTTTGTCTTTCCCAAGTGTTAGTAGATAAATCAACTGGTAGGGCAGCTATGCACGAATGATCCATAAGAGATGGCACCATACCATCAGGATCAGTGGCTGTCTCATACTCTGGACAAAGGCCTGGGGTTCTCATGACTCGAAACTCCCATGGTGTTAGTATCCAAATAACTGTCCACCTCAATCTCTCCACAACTTATTTGTCGCTTCTTCTGACTCTGGACTTCTTAGTCACTGTGGTAGAAGGGCGCTCACCGACCGTTCTTACGAAATTTACTCGTTCTGTTGTGTTTCACGGGCTCTCTCTCGGGCCTAACCAGTAGCCGCACAGCGGCGCATGATATAGTCAGAATTTTATTACCCCTCTTACCTTATTACCCTCTGCCTTTGTCATTCTTAGTGACGGCCTGTCTAAAAAACTCCTTGACTGTGCGGAATTTCCGTTCGCGAAGATGATTAGGGGATATGTTTGAGTGTTCCAATTGTTCTTAGATGGCTTGTTGTTCCACTCAAATACCACTTTGCACTGGCACTAAAATCAATGAGACGTTTCTGAAACAAGAAACATTCGCCAGTTCTTCATGTGTTTTATAATCCTTTGAACGTTCAAAGGCCTGGTTAGACAAGGCAGTTAGTTTCCAACTAATAAACAGATGTATACGATATCTGCAATCGACTATAAGTCAAATCGCCTCTAATTTAATCTAGAATTAACACTCCATTAGATTTAGGGAAGCAGGCAGACAAAAACATCTTTATTCGAAAAGACAATAATGCGAATAAATAGGTAAGGACAAAACTCTGCCTGTTGGGCAAGTAGCAGATTACTTCTTCTGTAGCAGCTCACCTTAGTGATTTTGCAGCCTTTGCTGTTTAATGGCGAAACCTGTCTAAAATGTCGTACTGTATATGTAACGTGCAGTCAAGGTACTTATAATTGGTATGGTGTTCGGGGTGGTCCACAGTAGGTGGTCTCTTAAAGGGACATCAACAGCGCTAAGTGCAACTACAGGTATGTGAAAAAAGGTAGTAGAAATAAGTTTATTTCTCGTACATTGATACATAAAACTAGCTTAAAGGTAGGTGTTAGCGCCGGTCATTCGTCGGTAAAAAATGTGAAATGTTTCAATGAGGATGGGGTATGCAGATAAGTATTATCGTATTACAGGTGGCCTCGCGCCAAATTGCAGGGGAGTTGGTGTTGGGGTGATAGTCGTAAGTAGGGTTGGGGCTAGTGTTGAGGTTAGGACTAGGGAGGCTAGAGTTGCTGGTGATGTTAGGGTTATGGTTAGGTTTAAGGATGGGACAGGGGCATAGGCATTCCATGGAATTGAGCGCAAGGTCACCTGTACTGGGGGGAGTACTTATTCCCGTGTTCAATCACTACGAGTTTAACCTACG